AATCCCAGCACTCGGGAGGCAGAGGCAGGCAGATCTCTCTGAGTTCGAGGCCAGCCTGGTCTCCATAGTGCATCCAGGACAGCTGGGGCTACAGGGAAACCTTGTCTCAAAAAAGACAAAAAAAGGAGGGGGGGAAGAAAAAAGAGGGGTCAGAGTTCACCTAGCATGCACAAGACCCAGGTTCCATCCCCAACAACATATAAACCAGGTCTGGTGACATACACCTGTCATCCCACCATGAGAAGGTAGAGGCAGGAGGATCAGGAGTTCAGGGTCATCCTCAGCTACAAACACAGTTGTAGACCAGCCTAATCCCAGCACTCATGTGGCAGAGGCAGGTGAATCTCAGTTCAATAGCAGCCTGGTCTACATAGCGGGTTTCAGGCCAGCTGGGGCTACAGGAAGACCTTGTCTCAAAATAAATAAATAAGGGGGCTCAGCGGTTAAGAGTACTGACTGCTCTTGCAGAGGACCCAGGTTTGATTCCCAGCACCCACATGGCGGCAATGAACCATCCTTAACTCCAATTCCAAAGAGTCTGAAGCCTTCTTCTGACCTCCATGGCGTTGCATGACACGGGTGTATCCACGTACATGCAGGCAATACACTAGTACACATAAAAAAAAATTTAAAATAGGGCGTGGTGGCTCACGCCTGTAGTCCCAGCACTTTGGAGGGAGAGGCAGGCAGATCTCTGTGAGTTCAAGGCCAGCCTGGTCTACATAGTGAGTTCCAGGACAGCTGGGGCTACAGGAAGACCCTGCTTCAAAAAGACAAAAAAAAAAAAAAAAGACTAAAATTACCCTTACCTGTAAATATGTGGGCATAGAATCATGTTCTATGTGAGTAGCCTGATCATTCGGAAAGTCTAAGAAGTTAAAGAATTGAGGGGGTGAGGAGATTTGGGAGAATTGGGACTTATCCAGAGCTAAGGCTAGGCTGGTGTCGCCAGATACAGACAGCATCACCCTGCAACGAGAAGAGCCACAATCAAGTTCAGAGTCTGCAGTAATCTGCTCAGGCTGGAGGTAAAGGTAGAGGAGCTACAGGAGCCTACAATGCTGCAGGGAGATGCCTGTGCACATGCGCTTACTGCAGCGTGGCGGGTACAGTAGCGCCCCCTGCTGGCCAGAAGTCAAAAAGGCGCAGCCCTCGAATCTGCCTTTCAGTATTCGTTGGTCATTTGTGTGATGAGGGAAAAAAGCTATAGAGGTAAATAAGATGTGTTTTAAATTTGGTTGAAGGGAACGTGACTTAAAAATCTGGTTCTCGCCAGTTGTGGTGGCGCACGCCTTTAGTCCCAGCACTCGGGAGGCAGAAGCAGGCCAGCATGGTCTACATAGGGAGTGCCAGGCCAGCTGGGGCTACAAGGAGACACTGTCTCAAAAAGACCAAAAAAAAAAAAAAAAGGTTCTGAAGTTGGGCGTGGT